TGTGCGGATGGTTGGAGGGCATCCCTGGTAGCCATACTTCTTTTCTTTGCTTCTGTCTGTCTATTTGTCTGTAAGTCTGTCTGCCTGTCTTGTTTATTCCGTGCACTGTATGGCCGTAATTGTGCCGATATGCTTCTCTTTATTTTACTCAGACCCAAAATCTTACTTTGTGTGGGCCTTAACCAACAGGGTCGATATATATATTGTGCTGATAAGCTCTAGTTTAAAACGTTTACAATCTGTCAGTCAGTTTTAGTGTGTTGTCTGCAACGTGTGTACTGGTGGCTGGTGGAGGGCGCCACTGGTAGGTCCTACTTCTCTAATTTCCCTCTGTTGTTTCAGTCCGTCTGTCTTGATTATATTATATATTATATATTCCCAGAACTAAATCAAAATGACAATTATCTCTTTACTCACACTCTTGTCAAACAGAAAAGCAGTGCGTGTGAGTAGGGGTTTCTCTGGTATGTAAAGAGTTTTTCTGGTCCCTGTTGATAGCATTGATCAAGGGCTGTTCGTTATCTGGGCAAGACCGGCGGAGCCGGTCACTTCTTTTATCAACTGGACAAGATTGTTGATACAGTAATACTTTTCATTCAGTTTCAAGTTTAAATCTAAATTAATTATATAATATATCTTGTCAACCTTCAAAAACCGCTTTGTCGATTTGAAGGCGCCTAAAATAAGACGACAGGGTTTCACTGGTAAGTCGTTGCACTACTGTGACTACAGATTCTCTTTCCTTCATCTGATCTCTGTTTTATCAACGGTGGCTCGCTACTGGATCTGTTGTCACCGCTCCCGGTCAAGACAAGCTTAGCTTAGTAAACTGCGTCGGACGAAAGCCATGTTCCTAGCCGGCAACTTCTCAAATTGCCCACCGTAAGAGTAAAGGGGAAGCTTCTGGTTGCCAGTCAGGCTTTTCAGTTGCTTATTTTATTGAAGGTAAGACTGTCTTGAACAGTATACATTTAATACTTTGTATAATTCTCAGTAGCACTATCAGAAAAACTATATATCTAATGTTACTGTCAGTAGGCCTACATTTATTGCCAGCATGCCTCTAATTTGTACATGCAATGTATTGCCTTTTGTTTTTGGTCACCCGATGTTCTATTCGTCACTTACTGATTCCCTACTAAAATAAACCTTCTGACCAAGACCCCAGGCCGGCGATTGCCCACGGACGTTATAAGGGGAATTTTACCTAGGATGAGATTGAGAATGCTAACTTACCGAGAGGCACTCGGCTGACGGAGTCCGGGTCGCTAAATCAATGCCCTCGCTTCTCCCCTTTTCCTTCTCCCTGGCCAGACACCGAAGTTCTAATAAATTTAGCATTTGACGCCGTTCCCAACGAGTCAACAGTAACACATTCTTCTGAGAAGTGCGACTAGAGCGTCTGATTGTGACCAGAAATTGTGTGCTATGTGCTAATGGTTGGTCCTCGATTTATTCCCCTCTATCTATTCTTTTCTGTACATGTTTAACTTTTGTTCTTTCGCAGCACTAGATCGAAATGTCCTGTAATAACTTTATCACAAAATGGAGCTTCTCTTTCCTAAAACGAAGCCTAGATCAAGGTTTCTAGCTTGTCAACGCTGTATACCTCGTGTAATCTGCT